ATTGTTATTTGTTTTATTTTTTATTTTTTATTTTTTATTTTTTTTTTTTTTTTTTTTGCTTTCCTATCATTGTCTTGTGAAAATATCAATTTACTCCTAAAAAACTATGCTTCAATTGTTTCTTTCCTTCGGGTAGTGATTTTCATTTTTGATAATTTTTTTGCTTATTTCGAGCAAGTTTAATTTGACACGAAGCATTTGTTTCTAGTCGATAGTTGCAACAAAATTTTAACCTTCTGGAATTTTTGTTATTAAAATCTGTTTTTGTGTTAAGACTTCATGCCAAACTTACACTGATAAAAAAGATGTACGACCCGTTGGCCTTTTATTTATGGAAGTAGTGAATTGTCCTGGCTATGTGTACTGTGTCAGACAGCACTGTTAAAAGTATAATACGTTTTTTTTTTCCGTTTTTTGTTCATTGATAAATGATTTCTCCCTCTGACGTATTTTCTTACGAACATTTCTGTGGATGTGGATTTTAATTTCTTTATCTCTTCATGAGGCTTCCAATAAACTGCATAGGCAGATGAACAAAAGGTTTCTCTTTTGATCATTTATTCGCCAGTATTAATATATGTGCTTCAGCAGAGAGAGGAAATATTGTTTGGTTCTGAATATACTTAAATTGTTATTGTGAGGCCTTGCTTTTTTCAGTTCTGGGAGGAAAATTTTTAAATCATAGTTTCTTCACGTGAATGAATAAAGTATCTTGTTTGTCGCTGTAATAAATTATCATTATTCCTGTTGATGTCTTTATTTTTGTTTCACATTGAGTCTTTTTCAGAATTGTATTCTGAACCTACCATTCATTTCAATAAAGAATTGGTTTGTGCTGTCCTTTGTTTTTGCGTTGTTTTGATTGTTTCAAAAGTTTACCGGGTGGGATTTCGTTTCTGTTCCATAGTATTTCGTTAAACTGAGGCACTTCAACGTAGAAGCATCGCGTACGTGATTCAGTCATGTAGTTCATTTCTCGAGTAGTTCATCTTCAATCATTGGCACTTTATTGTAACTTTGGCCAAACAAATTTTATGATATATTTGTGAAGCTTAGTGTGATAGAATGCAATTCTTCGAATTGAATTGTTTTTTTACCGTGCACTACTTGGAACTGAGAAATTACTGATGTTATACGAATCGTTTTTACGGAATTCTTCAAAAAAATTTTGTAAGAAACGTTCTGAGCATTTATTGCATAATTTGTACTGGTCAAAGTTATTCCGTTTTTGAGCAAACGTCTCTACGCAGTAGTGAATAGTTTACGGTGAATTGATGGTTATGTAATTGATGGCCTCCTGTTAAATACTTTGGAAGATTATCTGACATTACAAAAAGTTGAAATAAGGTTTTGTCTAATGTTGAATATTCCTTTCCAAGATGTAATTTCATGTTTCCCATCTTTTTTATCTTTTTTTTAATCTCATTTTATCATTGGCATAATTCGACAGGAGCTCCGTATTAAATTCAATTTACTTTATTTTTCAATTCGAACAAAAAATTGAGATCAAATATCGGATTTAAATTACTCCAGGGATTAATCAAATAATATGTAGTAATGCATGGATAGGGGTTCGTCTTTTTTTTGTTCGTTGTTTATTGATCTTCTGTAGATGTTTGAGGAAGATGTAAGCGAAGAAGATTTCGAAAGAGAGCAGTCGGAACGTCGAGAATATGTCAAAAATATTGGTATTGAATACAGATTTGGATGCTATGAGGTCCTACTTGCATCCAGTTCATAGTTTAAAATGATCTAAACTTAAATTAGCAAGTTGGCAAGTTAAATAATTACATAATATATTGTTAGTGAACGAAATTATTTTGAAGAGTCTCGTCCTGAATTTTCGAAATCTACAGGTTTCCAGTTATAATTTATAGCAATCTTGATCTTCCAAGGGCAATGGAAATTAGTTTCTTCCAGTTTCCAGTTTCTTCGAAGTGTACGAGTTAGTTTTGAACTGTTTGCGCCACACACCTTTCATCATTTCTCATGTATTTTTAGGAAAAACGGCCCGAAATGTGCCAGATGTTGGGGGAATACATGGAAGCGATCGAGCTAAATTTCAAAGCGGCATATAACATATTTAAGACGAATTGTGAGGAAAAGGGATTTCCAAGAAGTTGTTTTAAATATGCTATGTATCTTCTGGCTGGAAGAGGTTGACATTCATTAGAGTAAACTCCAATACATCGTCAAAGAAAAAATAAATTAGAATACGATCATCCGTAGTAGATAGAGGATAAAAAATGAGGTATTCTGTCAATTTGTGGTAAAGTCAGAATAAGCTGTAAGATTGTTGCTTAAGATTTTGTCGGTAAGACTGTTGTGCCATCATCATTTAAATTGCTGGTACCGTATTGGTGAATATCTCTCAAGTGTCCTAGAATTCTTCAATTTTTAATCTGCAAAATATAAATTGAAATTTCGTATTACATTCCTTCACTCGCTGTTTATGTTTATTACTAGCAAATCAAATATTTCAATAATGTCCAAGTTGTACGTATTCATCTTGCTTCAGGATGTGAACGCAACCGAAAAAAGATGATCGAACCGCTAGAGAAGTCATGTGAAGCTAATATGCCAGAAGGATGTCGTTTTTTATCACTAGTTCATTGGAATGGTGAGGAAGATAGAAAGCCCAATCCTGAGTTAGCTGAGAAATATATGAAAAAGTAACCTTCCAACCGATTTATCTCTTTGAAGTCAATATCCATTTAGAAGTATGAGCTTTGCGAAAACTTTCATAGAACTCTACTTTAACTGCTGTTGATAATTTGGAAAGGAACACATATGTGCCAATAAGACATAATAGCATAATGTTATCCTTATTTTCTTGTTGGTAAAACATATCTTGTAAAACATGCTTATTGTAACATCACAGAACAATTTTAGTTTTACCCTATTGTTTTTATTCATTATTGTGTTCTATAACGACTCGAAAATATTTTAGAGCATGTGAGCTGGAAGATGCGGAAGCGTGTTGGTTGTTAAGCACTTGGTATATTGGACGTAATGCTGAATTTGTTACACTGGGTGTAAGAAAGGCTGTAAGTTATATGCTTTAACATTGTCATTCAACACAAATGCTGTATTAATGTTAGCTTTTGTATTCTCTGCAAAAAAGTTTAATATAAGAAAGGGAATTCGGTCGATTGTAAGTTAACTCTAGATGTAGTGTCTGTTTGTTTTTGTTTTCGTTCTTGTTTTTCTTTTTTTTTCGGTGATTTTAGAATTGACATTTTTGCTTGACTTATGTGACGATATTCAGTTATTAGGTTTTCTTAACTTTTTATAGTGTGAGTAGAGTACATCAAATTAGGACTTGAATTAATAAAGACAGTCTAAGGTCTTAGCAAAGAGTAATAATTTATAAGGAGAATAAAGAACAAAGAGCCTAGTTAAGAAATGAGGACGGGAATTAGAGAAGACATAACTGGTTTAATGGATATAGATTTTCGACTTTATGTCACTTGCTTCGTGATATTGCAACCAATATTTTTCATGGGGACTTTATGTGGCAAATTTATCATGAATATAATTATTGAAAATATTTGGTACTGAATGCTGATATTTTATTTTTGATAATCAACCTATATTGATTAATTTTATTTCAAAATATATAGTTTCATTGAATTTCATCCTGTTGAGGAATGTTAGGCTTCGAAAGATGTTGATATGTTTTGGATAAAATGAGTGAACTTACTGTTATTACTGACCTGTTGTTAGTTGTTGTAAAATTTATTCTAGTATCAGTGGAACATGGAGTCGACAAAATGTAAATTGTTTCTCGAAATTTTGATTACTTCACTTTATAAGCGCTGATTACTTCATTATTTCACTGATTACTTCACCTTATAAGCGCTGAATTTTTCAACTTAACCTGCCTTCCTAGAAGCATAGTCCACACCTGGGAGAACTTCCGCGAAATATCGATTTAGCGATCAAATACGGTATCCGTGCTTGTGACTTTGGTTGCTTTCAATCCTGTGGAAATGTTTCCAGGTTAGTTTTGATGACTTTTACCATTGGCTTTTCAGTAATAAATTCATTGGTTCCAATATCTTCTTTGACCGTTATGGTCCTAGTCAGTTAATTATTGTATTAAGACTTGAATTAATTTTAATTTTGATCCTCAATACTTGGCGATTTCCCGAACTCTCAGAATTATGCTTCTCAAATTATTTCCAAAATTATTAAACCGGTTTCTTTCGCTGCAGGTTATATAGCCTAGGTGATGGAGTTGAGCATGACCCAGTGAAAGCGAAGTTATACTTAAACAAAGCAAAAGAAGCTTACAAACGTGCTCTATCAGGTGATAAGGTGGATTTCACTGGTTAACTTCAGTTATTTCACTGATCTTAATCTCTAGTAGTTTGATTAATTCTTATTTGTCATTGTTTCATTTGCATAGGTCCACTTCACTTCTGAGCAAGATGTTCAATTATTATGTCCCTTTATTATGTAATATGTACTAAATGAATGCATCTTTCTCATGAATCAGATATCAATAATTGTCGATTGTTTTATGGTTTTTAGTATTTCCCAAAGATCTGTATGTTACATTCATTATGGAGATTTCTGCTGCATATAAAACAATCCCCAATCAAAATACTGTCTTTATATGTAGCGAAGATCCGATAAATACCATTGCGTTAAGTTTTTAAAGTCAGTCATACTTATATTTATCTTGATGTATGTTACAAATATGGTTATTGTTAATCACTAGTAAAAATATAACATTGTTTTTCATGAAGAGCAGTGGAACAAAAAGTTCTAATCACTTTGCCAGTCGGCGAACTGAAAAGAACGTGGCTTCGTTAGCGGAACTTTGTACTTGATCATAATATTAGTGGTACTGTTTAAGAATTGTATCTTAATGTTTGATAGGATGTCGAATATGATGTTTCTTTTGATTCAAGTCTGTCGTACTCATTTTGATGGAATGAAATTCAAATCCAGGTTATGAACTTGTATTCCAGTTTTTTCTTGCTGACCGTGTCAGATAGAGATTTGGAAAATGTTAACTTTAACTTGATGCCCTGAAATTTAATTGGAAAAACCATTATTTCGGAGAGTTAGTTTTTGTTTGTATTAATCATTAGAGTAAGAGATTGGTCTTGGTTATAAGTTGGTGCGCTATTCAGAGCCTTGCAGTTTACAATCATAAATAAATAATTAGTATAATATCCTACGAATAGGATCTTTCACATCTCTCAAACCGCTGACAGTTTACAGGTCTATTAATGGCGAATCAATTTCACTTTTATCGTAGAGAGTATGCGAGGATTTCGAGCCTCAAAACTATGATTAATAATTTAAAACTAGTTGAACTAATACCTTGAAAAATCAAACTTGAAGATTTTATAAGGATTTATAATCATTTGAGAACATTGTAGTTTTCGGTACAGATTAGTCCGTACTCTACTGTTGAAACATTGAATTCAATTTTTTTTTTTGCTTTTTTTTTGGAAACCGTGAGTACACTGCAGAATGAGAATAACTAAGAGGGTTGAGGTATAATCATGAAGATCGACAGTTGAGACGGATGAGTATAAGGAATCTGCCGAAAAGCATCGATAAAAAAAGATCCCATTTTTGATTAGTAATCTTGGCTCATCTCGGCAAACAAACGAAATAAGCCAAGCTACTAATAATTTATTGTGAAAACTGACAGCAGATAAAGTAATATTTTTTAAAGAGCATTTTCGTCACAGTGAAAAACAGTTCATAACGCGAACCTTAAAGTACTACCTGAAGAAAATAAAATAATATGCAGATAGATCATAGACCATAATGTTAGATTTGGATAAAAGCAAATGTGTAGAGCTCGTACAAAAATGTCTTAAGGAAATTGTTCTGTAGGTAAGGAGTATTTCAGGGTTAAGACACACATAATGCGCTTCGTACAGTTAATTTTTACTATTGTAAAACCTGTTTGCGTAATTTTGCTATAATAGAAAAACAAGTCATGGAGGTAGAAAAAATTGGAGAATTAAGTATTTTTTTGGTGAGGATTATATTTCACTAAAAAAAAGTAATTCGTGAGCAACAAAAATGCATCCATAGGATACAGCAGAAGATCTTAGAATAATGTTCAGATATGAAAACAATCTGGAATAAGTGACGATGAGCGAAAGTCATGTGACATTCCCGTGGCATAAAAGAAAAGTGCTATCATCGCTAATTATGACAATTGTGCTGATGTTTCTTCACCGTAAAGAGGAACTGCAAACTGTATAGATCTGTTCATTTGGTGTCAGTGAAAAAAACTCATCAAAAGTAAGATAGCATTGAGTTAATGAAGTTAGCGATTTTTTCTTATTTCATTTTTATTAGATTGAATTAATGAAATTTAGTATTTCAGTAAAGCGTTCATTTGGTTTGTACCAATAGGATAAGTCTTTCACAGGAAAGGTAAGGAATTTTTCTGGGGAAAATTGAAAATAATTACTTTGATCTTTCGATTCAAATTCTTTTCTTATTGTTCACAGTGCAAACTTCAATAAACTTATTCAATAAACTTAACTTTCTTTCTCAAAAAAGCAGTTAATTAGTCCATACTAATTTTTGAATGATTTTTTTGGTCTGCTGGGAAAGTTCAGAAACAATTAAATCTTAACAACTGACAACACAACATCGTATATTTTGGGTTTAATAAAGCGTTCCATGTGGGGAAGTGAATGAGTTGGTTTCCAAGTTGATGAAAAAAAACTGTAAAAGTTAGAATAAGTGACGATCGATAACATGACTCGGTCATGAAGATTGAACGGGAATAAAATTTTTCGAAACAGAGAATGGTATATTAAGGATATAAGCACTGATTTTTGATTTTATTAGAATAAGTGAATGCCAAATGTCTTTTGGAAAGATAGTTGGAAATGTCCGCTGTTCACTATTGCCCATGAAAAATGGTGGCAGCTGGAAATCTCGGATGATATGAAATTTCCGTCTAGAACTATTCCATTCAGTATCTTTTCTCGGGAATCTCAGGGCAAGACGAAGACAATTTCCGCTGTTTTGAACAATTCTCGAACCAACGATAGTAAGCTGAGTTAATGATCTGAATAATGATATTGGAAGATAACGTTCCGCCACTAAGTAAAGATAGCATTTCTTTCACGCATTGCTCCACTTTACTTAGTACCATGTTAAAGATGGCCTGAAAGGGATTGCAAGAGGAGAATGGCCAAATATATTATCGGCTACAATCCAGAAAGGACCAAATATAAGATTTCTATAACACAACGTACGTCAGCATAAGTTACGGAATAATGACAATACAGGTCTCAAAAACTTCTTAGAAGGAAGTTGGTAATGGAAGTTATTACTAATATTTGCTGAAATATCACCAATCACGCAAGAACTTTATCCATTTCTCGCGAATAAATGTTTTCTCCCTCTCTAAAAAGTGAAAAATCACACTAATAATTTAATATACAGCAATTTAATAATAATATATAATAATAATTTAATAATAGTATATATATTATAATAATAATATAGTATATTACATAATAATAGTATAATATATTACATAATAGTAATATAATATATTATGTAACAATAATATAATATAATAATTTAACAAATAATTTAATTTCACTCTTGAAATTTATTTTTGATTTTTCAATCGCTTTTAGACTTTTCCCTTGAATCTTTCTTCCAATTTCTTACATTTCTGTTATTATATCCCTTAACTAAACGGGTAAATTATCAGCGAAAGACTTCACATTTGCAGATGGGGTAACAGTTTGCATATCGCCCGCAGTATTGTAGACAACAAACCAACCTAAAAGGTTCCGAGAAAATTTGCCACCGTGTATTTGTTGGGGAATCTATCGTGAGTTTTCGCTCGCAGTGAAGGGATCCTGTAATTCGATTGATCTAAGAAGGTTGGGAAAGATTCCACAGAGATCCACGAAAAGCAATAGCAGATCCTTTGTGAGAAAAAAATCCTTAGCTCAACACGGTTTACTTTCCACTTCTTTTCTAGGTTTTTCTAGAATATAAATTCCCTCACCATCAGATTTTCTTTCGGCTGAAAGAGCTAAGGGAAACTATGCGGTAGAAGTAGGTTTTTCGGAAAATTGTTGAGAAGTGAGATATTCGCGTTTCCTACTATTCTTTTCGTATATTTGCAGATTCTGACATCTGCTGAAGTTTCCGAAACTCGTTCAAACATATCACCACCTGTTGGGGAGGTATGTTTGTTCTCCTCAAAAATTTAAAATGATATTTTTTCGATTAGAAAAGGAAGGAAAAATTAGAGGATGGAAATTATTGTTACATTAACTGCTATAAAGGTTGACTTCAGGTCAATCGGATCAATTGTTGTCATTGTACTTACCCTCATCATCTTTTATATATACCTGATTCATTTTAAAAATTTCAAGAACTTTGTTGCAATATTTCGTATCTTGTTAGTGTAAGTAATACAATAACAAGCAGTATTTATAAGAAGACAGTTGTAAGCGCTTATCAAGAAATATTGAGGTTTGGATCTTTGTCAGTTTACGGATAGCTTGTCTCTAAGCTGTGGTGAATCCTTCTAGTACAGTGATTGTGATGATTCATCGAAGTTACTTTTAGACATTTTGCACCTCGTAAGATAATAGGATTGATAGTGCTTTGTTTTGCGATGTACATTGCTTGGTAATAGCAGAGTTTGTCGCTGTTTAAATCAATCAAAATTGAAGGAGCAACTATATGTCGACATTAAAGTCATCAAATGCTCCTGCGGATAACATACAGGCAGGTGGTCTTGTTGACAGTCCGGAGAAAAGTACTACCTCAGCTCGCGTACACCCTCCGGTCACAACCAATAGTAACCCTGGATCGTTGGAGGAAATACATCGGAAATGTCGCGAAATATTCCCAATGTGCTTCGATGGAGCAAGGATGATGCTCACGAAAGCAATGTCTTCACATTTTCAGGTTGTTCTTTGCCTAGTTGAAATCTTTTGCGAAGGAAGCTCTTAGGTAGGTAGTCAGGAATATTGTTGTTGACGGCATTATTAAGTCATCCTGCAGTTGAGAGGATCCTTATTTTGTAGTGCTCCACTTTATCGTAGATTTCAGCTTTGCATATCAGGAAGGAACCATAATTATAATACTTAAATATAATGGTTAAAAAGTAATATATAGGTGACCCATACGTTAAGTATATCGCCGCAAAATACGGGATATCGTTTTGGTGCTACCTATGTTGGAACTAAGGCAACGCAACAAGAAGGCGAAAGTTTTCCTGTGTTTTTGGCTGACACTGATATTTCTGGTAACACTTCTGCAACATTTTTGCATCAGTTTGGCGATCGATGGCGGGTTAAAATGCAAGCCCAAACTCAAGGTAGGTGGCCTTTGAAATCGGATTTCTTTTTTGATTTGTACTGTACCATGTATGCCCTGCTATCTTCGTATACGTTTATTATCGTATCTTGTCAGCACTTGGTTGACAATAGTTTCCTATTCATATTTTCCTACTGGAGAAAGGAAATGAACATATCTCATGGTAATTGTTACCGTCGCTGTGGTTTTATTTTTAATTTCAAAAATATCACCAAAAGTTGGAGGATTGCTAAAAGTATGAACTATATTTACTTTCCTTATTTCTTCATGCATTGTCTATTCTGCACGAAATTTTGATTTTCTTGTTCGTTGGCATTACTTTTACGGTCATTCTGAACATATTTCAAGAAATTAAACTATATAATTTTGTATTCTGGTCTTAAATTTTTGCAGGGAATAAGTTGGCGACAACGCAAGGAGGAATTGAATATCGTGGTCGTCTTACAACATTGGGGTTAACATGTGCCAATATAGACATCATCAATGATTCTGGAGTTATTGTTGCACAGTACCTACGACGCATAACTAAAAAGCTTGATCTAGGTGTCGAATTCATCCATCAATATGGAATTCCTATTCCTGGAAGGCAACTTTCAGTTGTAAACTATCAGGCAAGGTTGGATTGCTTATTTATTTATTTATTTATTTATTTACTTCATATTTTTCTTCGTTGCTCAGGGCCTACATACGTGTGATTTATATATCCCTATAGAACTGTATGGTATTTATTTGATGTCTGAATTGGTTTTGCTGAATAAGTCTGCTATTCGTTAGACTTCTAGCGAGGATCCCTGAGACTGGAGTTTCCTTTTGATTTTTTTTTTAGCATTTTGTAAGTTGCAGATATACGGGTAAAAATTTTATTGCAAGTGGAATGTTCAGCTTTGACGCCCTTCATTTATGTTACTATCATAAACAGCGTGAAAATATTTCATTTGGTGTCGAATTCGAAAGTTCGACGCGATCTGGAGAGGCAGTTACTACTATTGGTTATCAGGTGAATATGCAAGGAATAATTCATAAAAATTTTTACGAATGGAGACATTGACAAATAGTGGTCCTCATGTAGTCACATACATGTTCTGGGATATATATATATATATATATGAAAGTCCTTTAGAGTAATCGCATTCTGTGAATTAGCATCTAAAACTTCGTTGCAATTTCGGAAAGATCAGACATGTGTTTCTTAGTTTTCCTTTTGCCTTCTCAATACTGCATACTTATACCGTGTAAGTCAACAGCGCTGTCATTAAAAGGCAATGATATGTGGCAGGGATTGTGTTTTATCTAATGGAGCAAAGCTTTTATCTAATGTTGCTATGAACTATCTGCTGAATCTGTTTCAGGCTGAGATCCCGGATGAAGGTGTTATAATGCGAGCCTCATTGAATACTGATTGGTCAGTTGGGGCAGTATTTGAGAAGAAGCTTTCTAGAAATCTGCCATTCACATTGGCTATATCCGGAATGCTCAACCATGTGAAGGGGCAGGGGAAGTTTGGCATTGGCCTTATAATCGGTTAATTAGTAAGCAGCTGATTGCTTTAAATCTCAAGTGGTAGTCGGTGTACCTGAAATTGTTGTGTCATTTGGAATTTTGCAATAGATTTCGCCATTTCGGCCCATCTATTTAATTAGCACCGTCCAAAGGGCAACAATATGTTTATCTTCATAACTAGATGAAACTTTTTAGTTTGTTCATTTCATATGCTATATTTGACAGCAGTAATGGTTTCGGCTTAACCAATCCATTAATTGCAGTCAAGTTGCCTTTTTAGATGTGTTTCTATAGCTTCTTGAAGATTTTTGGAAACTTCCGGTACAATTTTATTTTCCCAGGATTTTGCTATCCTTAATTCTAATGTGGATCAATTTTTTGCTGCTATTTGTTAGATTTGATCGAAACGAATCGATTTGATCCAATAAATTTTTGATATGGTAAGAAAGGATAGTTTTTACGATGGTTTCAAATATATTTTTGTTTTTGTAATCTTCATCCGTTGGTTTCTGCGTCACTTTTGAAAGCATATTCATTTTAGATTATTTGCAGAAAATTTTGTTTGACTAACTGCTGCAATTTACTGACCTTTTTTGCGCACGCTAAAAGCGTTTTAATTTGTTGACTCTTTTCTAATCTTTGTTTCGCGCTTGATGGATGCATTCCTGCTTGGGCTTTATACTATATTTGAAATGATGTCCCTCTTTATACTTAGTCAAATCTATCAATCCTTTGTTCAAGGACTTTGTGTTAAATCTTTTATAACATATTTCTAGTTATATATGTTGTTATTTGGTTTGCTGATGTAGTAGTTGTTTTTTTCTCTGCATTCATTTATTTTAGTTCTGGTCTTTGTTCATTACCGTAAAGAAAGAGCTTTTCTAAATGATGCAACTTGTGTTCTTTGCTTAATCGTTTCAGAATTTGAAGGATTTTTCAGATATTCGGTTTTTCCCATAAACTTAGATTTTTTTCATATTTTGTCAAAAACACGTGAATTTATAAGGGATAGGGTTACATTCATTTGTTTCGGTTGTTATTCAAGAAATGAAATCTGTAGTTGATGGATTGAGTTCTTAATTCGTTGGGTGCACTTTTTGATGCATTTTGGAATTGGAGTGCCTTTTTTTCCCATTGTAAAAGTTCCAATTACACATTGCTATCGCTCATTCGCACTACAAATTTTGATCTTTCTAGAAAGGTGAAGAGGGGCAAAGTTCCCTTGCATTTTTTGTTCATTCCGTATTAATCGCAACTTAGGATGAGTATTTGTTTAGGATGAGTATTTCGGGATTGGGATTGAAGGTCGGAAGAGTCGGCAATCTATGAATTACTCGAGAACTGCGGTTTGCGCAGCTGGTTTTGGCCGCTTATTATTTCAAAATTTTATTGAGGGATTTCTGGCGCATACGTTTTGTTCTGGGGAAGTATCAGTTTAGGATTTGTCTGGCTTGTGGGATTTTATTCATTGTCTACTGCACCGTAAATGTCGGTTTATAAAAGTTACAACCATCCGTGGTTACTGGATTTACTCCACTGTCTAATGATGTGTAGGCGCTTAAAGCATGCTTACAACCTTCTGGTGGAAAAAATAACGCGGACGATATATTCACATATAAGGAAAAGTTATAGCGCTCGGCTCTTGTGAGCATTTTTGGTAGTAATTTGATTTTCTTGAAGTATCCGGACACTGTGATGTAAAAGGTGCAACATTTTTAGTGGAGGTGTTATGACTGGGTTGTCTGGTTTGTTTTTTAGCTTGATAAGTTCTTGAAGAGTAGGTTAGAAGGTTAGGTTACAAGTCATGGGCTTTTATTAGTTTCATTCAATTCACAGACGATTATCCTGCTTTCCTTCTACTAAGGATAATTATGAACAGTTGTTTGAAACACTTGTGATCAAGTTTTTGAGTAATATCACAAATCAATGGATCAATATGTTAAGCATAATGATGAAGTTAGTCATTCCGGAAGACAAACTGCAGTCGCCATATGGATTATCACGAATATATCGAAAATATATGCCTGATATATCGCGAGAAATCTATGTGATGGAAGCGTTACCGTTGAATCCCGGGACGTTAAGTAACTTTCATAAGGATTGTTTAGCTTGTATTGGGAATAGCTTTACAGGGATACAGTTTGCAGTCAACAAGTTTATTCCATCAACCAGTGTAAAGGTAATACAATTCTCCTCATTTCTTCCCAAAATCTGTATCGAATGACTTAAACTTTATTCTAATTGAATGTTGAATAACCGATGACCACTTACACTAATCAGGAAAAAATTGGGTCAGCAATTCTCATTTGTCTTATTATAAGTTAAATGCTTAGATGTTGGTAAGGGTAGAAGTTGAATGCTTGTCCCAGATCGAATTGATGTTGCTCAAAGGTTCTTGTCGAAGTCTCCCTCCTCAAAACTCTTGCAAGATCAAAACGCGGTCTACTCTGATTTCCATGCTTTACAATTCTTACAAAAAAAAATTGCTGTAATTTCATCAATCTTTTTTTTACTTTGTGGTGAAATTTTTGCAGTTGAACAATAAAATAAAAATAGGAACAGCACAAGTAGATGGTGAACTAGTCACAAAGTATATTACGACAAGACAAACACGATTCGGTGAGCACAGCCTTCTTGTAGAGGCGGTCACCAATTTTATTGTTCCATGGCCCTCGATAAGTATTTCACAAGCTGTGGACGATTTCTTATATATGTCGATAGCATACTCTGCTCGAGGTTGGTTGTTTACATGAAAGATGTATGCTTTAAAATGTTCTATATGGAACGGCACTATGGCGAAAAAGTCACTGGACGATCGACGTGTTATCGAGAAGCACACCACTCCATTTTTTTTTTAAAAATATAAGTACCCCATTCCAAGTAATATTTTTCCAAAATTTGATCATCTCAAACTTATCTCTTACTGGTCGGTTGATAACATAAGTGTAAAAATTTGATGTACAAGAAAAATGAGTCTAACGTTAATGTTTTATCTATTTATCAGTTCTAAGGAAACTATTTATCAGTTCTAAGGAAATGATAAATAGCGATAAAGAGCGGGCGAAATTTTTGAACATGACAAATACAAAACAAAATGCCTGCTTTGTTTGTGATTTAAATTGAATCTAATTGAATGTATTTGGAGCTAAACTGAATGAACGAAAGTAAACACATTTAAAATAAGTTTAAAATGAATTAGTTTGAGTCCCCTGAAAAGCATACGTCATGAAATACTCGAAGTGTTTTCCAAACCTTCTTCTGTTCTCTACTAACCATGGGGTAATGTGGCCCATACATAACAAAGCATTTCTGGCAATTCCAATTTCGATTTCCCAACAAGAGACTGAATCGAAGATAATGCTATGATATCTCGACTTGGTTAATTACAAAAAATGTATTATGGAAGGTAATTTCAAGGACTTTCGTTTAAAAATTGATCAATGACTTATATATTTCTATTAGGCATTGCTTACTCGGAAAGTAATAAAATCTCCCGAGATTAATCTGAATTATTGAAATTCTGATAAACAGTCAATAGGGAGAGAAAATGAGATTTCGAAAAAGATAGCGTCTTTTGCACTTTATAAGAGTAGATAGACATTTCTGCAACAGATGTAAATTGCATTTCGAAATATAAAGCTTGAGCAGGAACTGGATCTTATAGGATGTATTCCAGATCAAGTTCGGAGAATCATCATGCACATATTCAGATAATGAGCCAAAAACTGATGCAGAGCTCGAGTACTATGGTCGTATAGGAACTATGGCCTTCAAATGTACCGGTTGGTCATCCGGTTCGGATTTAGTTTGTTCGACCAGTTATTTGAGAAGTATTACGCAAAAGCTAGCGCTTGGTTCACAATTAACGCTTCGTCATTTTGCGCTACCGCAACCCAATCAAAAATCGTCTGATATCACCTACTATGCACGGTTTGTTTTGCAATTTGCATTTTTGTTGGCCAGGGTGTCAATTCAAGCCGAACTGTAGAAAATAATAATGAACAGATTTCTGCGACTGGTTTACCTTCCCTTCCCTACAACTCACTTGAAAGACTTTCAGGTATTTGATTTCTAATGCTAAGAATTTCTTTTAAGTTAAAACCTCGTAGCATAAAGTGTTATAATGTACATTCCCGTAACGAACCCTGAACTATTAGAGCATTTTGTAATGAAATTTTATGAATTTTTGTTCTCTGTAGGATTATTCGATCCTTCATTTAGCAGAAATTTCCCGTTTCAGTGAATTATTACGCCTGAAATGCATTCTTTCAGATACAGAGGTTCGGCATACACAGCATGTCTTGATTTCTGTAAAAGTAGTGGATATCATTTCTCGTATTTCCGGAATATTAACAAATACTCAGCATGCGCAATCGACATAGTAGGTTCGGTAAATTTCAAGCAAGTAAAAGGCACCGTAGCCCTAAAAGTGAGACTTTGGAACATTTCAAAATTATTTAGACTTAAATTACATTCGTATTCAGATTCCTGTAGTTTTCAGATAATCACAAATTTGTTCACATCACGAATGTGCTTTTGTTATAAAACAAATTATGTTTATTATGTGGGAACAATCTTATGGCGATTGAGAATTGAGTCTTAGTTTATAAATAAGTTTGGTAAACTTTAATGCACGCTGAATTCTTCATTTTAAGAATGAAAGAGCACTCCAGTAAAAGGTGCTTTAGAGAAGCTCTTAATAAACTTTGAAAGTAGATTGAAGCCTTGTCATCAAAAACCTTTTGAAAAGTTTAAACCTCTACTCCAATTTGAGCTCGAAAGTTGAAAGCCATAAATGAAGATGTGATTCATTCACATGCAGCAATCATAAATTTTAGACGAAAGTGCCGAAATATGGACTGGTCACTACTGCACATTTGACGAGCGATGGAGCAATTACCGGTGTTTTCAAGAAACGATTCTCTGGAGATTTTCCCATCTCAATAATGATATCTGGATTTTACAATTTCTTTGCTGGTGAATGCGGTTTTGGGATTGGTCTGATATTTTAATAGTTTCTGTTGTCCATTTACTTCTATATTCATTATTATGATTTCCCATTAGCGGTCATTACTCTTTCCTTGCTTTCATTTATCGTAACAATCAAAATATTTGTGTCTTACAAACGTTTTTCAAAAATCGGAAATCAATCGATGTGATCGTTTTATGCACAATGAAAGTTTCCTTTTCTTTTTTTTTTTAAATTCCTGTAGTCTTTCTTTGTATTCATGAATCAGAGATACAATTCATGCTTTTGCTGGTTCTTTTCCGTGCTTTGTTATTGTGACACGGTTGATCAACTTCACAACTGATCAACAACGAATCTATTTTCTAATTTCAAGCTGATTTCTGGTCTGCAACTTTTAAGATTACCAAGTATACCAATTCTGCTTTGTAAAATTGGAAATTGATATCTTTTTTCCTGAAAATTCCTCTGTAAGATTGTATTTTTTTTCTATTTCCGTTGCTTTAATTTTGTTTGTTCATTTTTTCTTTAAATCAGACGATTTATAGCCTATGATTTTTAACTTTCTTCTGCACATGCTTTACTCCAAAAATTTCTGGATCGTGAGACTTTTCAATTCAATTCGATTATTATATGATAGAGATGTAAATACTGAAGAAGGCCCTTTACGCTTGGTATTCAATGTAGGTGTATTCGAGCAATTAATTATTTGACGTAATGAGTCAATAATTCTTACCCATCTATAACTGCCTCAAAAAGAATGATGCATTGCAAATGCACAAATTTGTTTCTATAATTTGCATTGTGAATGGATTGTAAAATTCAGGCAAATTTTGAAAGAAATTTGCTGGGATTTGATGATTGTATATCACTGTATTATTTTGTTTCCGATTTTGACAATATAAAACTTTACGAAACAATTCCGATAGTAGCTCTGGTCCCCATGTTTTTTCATAGCTATTTGCTTATTTGAAAATTGGGAGGACAATTTGATCTGATGCTTATAATAAGTCTGAATACCATTCTTGATTTGCTTTGATAATTTACTATGATGTTCCTAGGCTTCAAAATTGTCAATCCAAGACTGCATAGCGGATCTCTTTAGTTGCTACTTCCTTCTTAACTGACAATTTCGAATACGTTTTGAATTATATCTATCCCAATCATTTCCATTCATTTATTACATTAAGTGTCCACTGCTTCCATTTAATCAACTTTGGCATACTGCTTATATGATATATGACGAATTGCGTATTGGCGTTTCGGGTAGCTATTATTACATTAAAAGCACTCTACTATAGCCGGATTGAGATACTCTTTTCACCATTTCGATAGTGCCTCTGATTACTTTCACTCAAATGTTGTTTTGGAACATTAAGATACTGCATTGGTTTACAGTTTCACATGGATTTGTTCATCAAATCTTTACTAATGTTCTCGCATTATTCGGTAGAGTTCATCTGACGTTCGATTGCGCAGCTTCATAATTAATATACTATGTACAAATGTCTCGAAGGAAGCTCACTTGTGCTAATTCATTTAATAGATGCATTAATCCATCTAGAGGTTAAATCCTAATCAGACGATCAGTAATCAAATTGTTTGGAAATCTTAGCAAAGAGTAATTCCACACTGGAGGTTTTGTACGTATGTCTTGTGTTATGCTGGCATCAATGTATATGTATGTGCAAAGTGTTTTAAGGCCATAAAGTATTGCATGGACATTTAAACCAACAGATGAGGCCAAGTGAAGCGATGCTATTTGCATTCATGCTGTAAAATAAATCTCTTATTGGGCATTTGCTGTCCTCGCTTTCCACTTCTTTTTTCTTCCTTCCTTCTCCCCTCAAATTCCCAATCTTAGGATAGCTCTACTCTTTCCATCAGTTGTTTAACATCTTTTCATTCATTTCGAAACTGAATCAATTCTTCAAATTGTCATTTCCAAAAGCTATATCGAAAACAAACATCTTATCCATTTTAGTTCCTGCATTTTCTCCGTTTGGTTGATTGCCTTCAGGCCACCTTAGATTTTGTTTATCTCCAAACTCGTCAGGAAAACTCAAAAATTATGTCTAATAAAGAACTGGAAGACTGAGCCATGAAAAAACCCTAGAAAAATGAAGAACTCTTCGGTCATCTGCATACCTTTAGGTCATTCACTTAGTGAACAATTTATCCGCAGAAAAAATAGAGGTCGTCCAATTTTGTTTCCTGAGATCTTCCATGCTATGAGATCTAGTGTCTTATTTTTTAAAATGTATTTCACGAAAGAATTTTCTTTCCAAAGAAGATTTCCAATTAGAAATTCAAAACCATGAACATAAATTAGCACCCAGTTACCCCACTTCATTTCTCAAGAGAGTTGTAAAAACTACTACATATCTTTTAAAATATAGTTAAATAATAATAAGCTGGAAAACTCGATAAAATTGCTTAAATATTCAAAATATCGTAAATAAAAATATATTGTATATTTGAAAGCTCAAGTAAACAAGATTTTTATCGAATGAAGTGTACTGAAGCCAATCGATTCAGAACGAATAATGCGGATAGTTCGCTTGGGAACTTGTAACCTATTTGACCAAACTGAAACTGGACTCGTTTGATCGCTCTATATCTAGTTGTAGCAATAATAATGTAGAATTGCTTTGCCACTGACAAAAGTATCCACGTTTCATCAGACGATAAATCCTATTCTCTCACTAATTTCTTGGTGTTGCTGTTGATTTATAAATCCAAAGTTAGTATTTGGAACAACAGAACTTCATTCTTCAAGTTTTTCACAAATGATCTAATCAGTCGATCTATCAAACTTGACAGAGCTGCATTTCTTTAAAAATAACTTGTTGTAATCGTTTCCTTTCAAAATGCTTGGAGATTAGACATCAACATGCAGTTCAACCAAAGTTGAAGACTGAACTGCAAAATTAAGCAAAGGTACTGCTATTTCTGTGATACTCAGTGGCTGAAGGCACATTATGGATTGTTTTCTAGAATATCTGAAGAATTCCGAACTTCTTGATGTTATGTACTGCTAAAGATTCAAACAAGACTAAACATTATGCGGTTAGGCTTTCTGTGGTTTGCCCTATAATTCCTTTAGTATTCATTGTTTGGTTCGTAAACCTCTACTTGCATTCTGTCATCTAAATGTTGAAAATCCTTTTTTCTTCCGCTAAACAGAGCGACTTATGCAATTAAAATTCATCCTTCAATACTAGCCACTGTTATGATCATCTGTCAACTTCATCCTTTTACAGGGTAGCAAAAAGCTATCCAACTTCATTTGCTTTAAAAATTATATTCCTCAATTTTAAGGCCTCATGAAACTTTTTCCGCAAGTTTTTAGAATAAGATATTGTTCTCTCGTTCCAACTAATACACTTCAATAAGTCACCGGAATTATCCGAACTTCTGAGTGAACAATACTTGATAACAATTGTAAAGGCCTTGTTGTCAGACGGACCATTTCGCAACGGTTAAAATCAACAAAGACACCAAGACGGTACTCCACACTTTTCAGAAACAATCCCCGCGACGTCCATATCCTAGCCCCTAATATATCGTCAGGAATCCGCGACACCTCCGACATTGACAACTTCAATCAAAAAATGACGGTTGTATCCAAAGAGTTCGTCCGACAAGTCATCCGAAAATTCGGTCACACGTAGGGGGTGGGGTGGGCGATTATCTGATTTGGTTGGCCGGGTGAGAGTGAAGTGGAGATGGTCTCCGGATACGTTGGGTATTCGGGGGAGAGGGGGGAGAGGGAGGGGGGGGGAGATAGCTCCTGCCTTTTTGAATGTGAGATAGGGAGGGATGATAGTTCGTGCCTTTCAAGCAGAAAAGATAGCTCATCTTTCAAAGGATGTAATTTTAGGACGAAGAAAAATCAACAGCGATGGGTCATCGTTTATCTATTCAAACACAGGGTGATAGTCCAGCCTCTGAGGGTAAGTTCACACTTAGTTTATTATTTTATTTCAGTTTTATAATTTTCAGTGTTCATTCGTACTTGTAACACCGTCAGAACTATGCTATAGTGATTAAATGATATATTCATTAATGGTGAATGTATCATTAATTTTGGGAGCAAAATGCTGTTTATATAGTTTATTTCTACCTCATTTATTTTTACCTCATTCATTTCTCTCTCATTTATTGAAACTATAACTTTTAAGTCCTTAAATTCAAGGAAAAGACCGGAATTTTTTCTTTATCAGAGGATTTACGAAACTTTCATTAACTGCTATGGTTGCATACAGCTCGTTGTTGAAAACATTGGTTTTATTCATTCTTTTTTTCTTTTCTTTTTTCGTCGATTTCGTTCTCGCTAGCCATCGGAATGATTGGTTTGATACCATAAAATTCACTCATCAAAGATATTTTAATTCCGTCACTGCTGAAACAGATTTATTTGTAATGTCTAGCATCCAAATGAACAGGTTATTGCCAATGTGTTGTATAGAATACAGCTTTTGATCAACTGATTTCAATCCATTGTTGAAGAGGATCTTCTGTAGTTCTTTTTGACAAACTTTTACTGTTTTTATTTTTGTCTTCTGTTTTTTCAATTTGTCGTTTCTAGGTTCTGCTTTCTCTCTCATTGCACTTTTCAATCATAGCGGGTCACCACACTTACCACTCTAACCTTTGTTGCTTCACGCCACTATTGACCTCTGAAATCAGTAATTTAAATCATTTGTGCAGTTTTGTATGCAATTATGCATTCGGTTCAGTCAGGACTACGCAATATCACCTATTCCCTGCTTTTATTTTGAGCTAAAATTGAAGTGTTACTGCAGAAATCATTCGATTATACAGTAACTCATGCTTTTCAGTTACTCGAAAAAATTTTCGGTCACTTTTTTTTTTAAATGAAATATGTTACGTAAAAGAAGAGTCGAGGAAATTAGAGTATTTCAAAAAATTCAGCGTAATAGGAAGTACGTTGTAAAGTATGTTTATAGAATGGATATTTGGTGTTACAAATCCCAGGGGTGATCAAAGCCAATTTTTTTAGGATATAGATTTCTGTGCTTA